CCCCTGCGGGAGATGCAGAAGCAGCTGGGCAGGAAGCGGCGACACAGCGGTGACCAGGATGCCCTCAGCAGCAAGGGCAGGAAGGAGCGGCCCGGCAGCCAGCGGCCCCCTGGGTAAGGAGGGCGGCTGGGGGGGGTGTTGAGGGGCTTGGCCCGCCTGGCTGGCAGAGCAGGGCTGTGCCCTTGGGGGTTGGCTGCGCAGAGGGCCGGCTGGGTGCCAGCCGCAGCACGTGGGCCCCTGCACCCCGACACCAGGTGGCTGCTTGCAGTGGGGGCAGCAGGACGGAGGGGCCCCGGTTTTCTGACAGGCCTCTTCTCCCCAGGCCCCCGTCCCTGGCCCAGCTGCGAGCGGAGCGTCTGCGGCGGGAGGCAGCGGAGCGGGCGCGGGCGGAGGCCCTGCTGGCGCGGGTGCGGGGCCAGGTCCCGCAGGGGCCGGCCGAGGACCAAGAGGAGCTGGACGAGCGGCGGCGACAGTATAACTCCCAGTACCACCCGCAGCTGGCACGGCGTGCCCGCGGCCAGGCCCCCCAGCCCACCCCCTTCTGAGGGGCTCAGGGAGGCTGCGGCCAGCCGTCATAGAAAACTATTTATTCATAAATATTTTCCAAAATGAAAATAGGTTTACCAAAAAATGTCCCTCGCTGGGGAGGGGAGGGAGCAGGGCGGGGCGGAGGCGGCGGGCCCCAGCCCCCTCCTGCTGCCGGGGAGGGGTGCCCCAGTCCAGGGTGGCGCCCTCGCTGGGCCGGGCGGGAGCATGCGGGGAGGGCCCGCGTCACTGGAGGTCCCGGTCCTCCAGGTAGCGGTACTCGAAGGTGAAGCCTTCCTTCTTGCGCTGGCCCCACTTCTCGTAGTCGAAGTAGATGTAGGTGCCCTGGGGGGGCGCAGGCGGTCAGGGAGCGCCAGCCGGCGGGCAGCGCGAGCTCAGGGCCCCCAGGAGCACCGCTGGCACGACAGGCCGGCTGACCCTCACACCGCCCCCGGCAGCAAGGAGGGGCACTGGGGGGGTCACAGCTGGAGGGGAGCTCACCCCGGGGCACACGGCTGCCCACGGGCACTGGGGGAGGACGGGCCACGCGCAGGCAGGGCTGCAGCCAGGGCCTCACCTGCTCGAACTCGTCGGTGATGGTCTTGGGCTCCTCGTGCCTCTGGAACCACATCATGTACTTGGTGTGGAACCGCCACGACTGCTTCTTCAGCGCCTTGGCTGCCAGGTACTGTGCCTTGGTGCCCTGGGGAGAAGCCAGCGTGAGGGGAGAGCAGCGTGGCGGGCCGTGTGGCCTCTGGCCAGCAGAGCGGGCAGCCCCAAGCCCGCCCAGTGCGGAGCCAGGAGGGTGCCAGCCTGACCACGCAAGGCTGCCGTGGGGGAGGCATGGCCTGCAGCCCAGGGGCGGGACAGGAAGCGGCTGCAGCTCCCTCCGCCTGGAGCGGACCGCTCACCTCCAGGTAGTAGAAGATGAAGAAGAGCGTCTCCGTGGACAGGCGCTGGTAGAACTCCACCGTGTCCGAGTGCGGGGGCGGCATCTGGTGGTGGTAGGGGGGCGTGGGGCAGGGGTTCCTGGGGAGGTACTGCCTGTGGGAGCACACAGGGTCAGTGCGGGGCATGCAGGCCGGTCCCCCACTCCGGGCATCTCCCCGCAGACGCTCACCGGATGCGCTCCGAGTCGGAGGGGTGTGGCATGTGGTGCCAGGCGGCCTCCTCCATGGCCTGCTGGTACAGCTGCTCCTTACTGAGGGGCACGGGCCCCAAGGGACACACGCCCAGCGACAGCGGGATGTTGACCTCCGAGAGCTGCAGCGGTGGCTGGGCCGAGGCCGGGGGCGCCGAGGTGCTGCCCAGGAGGATGTCTGTGCGGGGGCAGGTGGCCTCAGTGGCCGCGCACCGACCGGCTGTGCTCCGGCCCTGCCCCGCGCCGCCCCCCGCCCTCACCTCGCTCCGTGAGGTGCAGCGTTGGCACAGGGTCCTCGATGCCAGAGCTGAGGGCTGCTCGCTCCGCCATGGACTTGAGAGAGCTCAGTGGCTCGGGGGCCTGGGGAGGGCGAGGGGCTGCGCTGAAGCCTGGATGCACCCGCCCTACAGGCCTGCGGGAGGGTGTGCGTGCCACACGCGCGCACACACACACTCTCTCCCTCTCTCTCTCCTGGTAGTTCACTGGGATGCCTCCCCCTCTCCAGGCCAAGGGTCAGACGCAGGGAGATCAGCACCCCTCCCAGAGGGGACAGTGAGGCAGGCGCCAGCTCGCAGCAAGCTGACAGCAGCGTGGCTCACGTGATGGCACGGGGCCGAGGTTGAGCAGGCACCCAGCGCCACAGGGCCCGCTGAGGGGGAGAGGTGGGCAGACACGTCCAGAGGGTGAGCTGAGCGGGGCCGCCAACTCGCCTTGATCTCCGGGGCGGCAGTGAACTGGGGGGGCCCGTTGAGGAGAGCACCGGCAGCCTTGGCCTCGCTGAAGCTGGGCGTCGGGGAGCTGGGAGGGTTCACGGACAGTGGCACCAGCAGGCTGGGCCCCCCTGAGGTGTTCCCTGAGCCTGGGGCGACGCCCCCTGCCACTGCTGGGGCTGCTGCGCTGGGCTCCTTCCTGGGGGAGGGTGGACAGGAGCGCAGCTCAGGCTGGGGAACCAGGACATGCATGGGGGGCTCCGAGGGGCTGCCCCTCCAGGGCCAGAGAGGAATGCCTGTGGGCCTGGCCCACCTCAGCCAGAACAAGCTGCCCACATGTCCCGGCTGGGAGCGCACAGGTACCCGACACCCAGCCAGTGGGCAGAGCTGGCCGCTCCACTTGGGGCCACCGTGCCTGAAGCCTTCCGCCCTGCCCCGCTCCCCGCGCTGGCCAGGACACTCACGAGGCGCTGGGTGGGGGGTTGTGGGGGCCTGAAGGGGCACCCAGGGCCTGGCTGCTGGCGCTGCTGCCCCCACTGCTGCCCAGAGCTGCCTCTGCGGGGCTGTCCGCCACAACTGAGCTGTAACCTGGGGGAACGGGGACAGTCAGGGGCTGCGGGCTGCTGCCCACCCTTCCCAGTTCCCCGGCCACGGCTGCACTTACTGGTGGCACCATTCTGCTTGCCAGCACCTCCACCAGTCCCGCTACTGCCGCCAGCACTGCCTGCGCCAGCGCCCCCACTTGGCTGCACACTGGGGGGCCGGGGCTGGGAGGAGCTGGGCCCGCTGGGCGCTGAGGGAGCCACGGCCTGGGCATAGGGGGCAGGAGTACCGGCGTTGTGGCTGGGGGCGGGACTGGCCTTGGGCCCCAGGGTGCTGGCTGGTGCTGCTGGCGTAGGGACCCCGTTGTTGCCAGGGGCAGCAGGCGGGGGGCCGGAGTAGGCGGGCGGCACAGCGGGGGACTGCGGCTGCTGGGTGCTGTGCACAGGCTTCGAGCCATTCTTGGCTGGAGACTGCAGGGAAGAGTCCAGGGTGAAGGCCCAGCAGCCAGCGGGCAAAGGAGTGCCCGGGGCCAGCCCCAGGCTTCAAACACCCACATGGCATCTAGCCTGCCTAGCTCCGGGCCACATGGGGGTGTGCCAACAACCCAGCTGTCAGACCACCACGGGGACAGCGAGGGACCCTCTGTAGCCTGTCACAAGTGGCATGGCACACGGCCTGATGCCACCAAGGCCATGAAGAGCCCACAGGGAGGTGCCCCCATGGCATGAGAAGCACCAATGAGAGCTGAGCCTGGCTGCCGCTGCCCACTGCCTCCACGGGCCACCCTGCTGCCCACCTTCAGCAGCCTCTGGGCCTGGCCTGCCCTGTCTGCACCAGCCTGAGACAGCCCTGCCAAGTGCTGTGGGCACAGGGACCCCCTCCGCAGGGCGTAGAGCCCGGCCCATGTGGCTCACGTCACTGCCCAGGCTGTGTGGTCACGGCTGGCCTCGTCTCCCCCTGCCCGCTCAGCAGCTTGGGAAGCCTGCTGGAACCCAGCCTGCCCAGACCCACCTGGCTGACCTCACTGTCCGTCGAGCGGCCCCTCTTCTTGTCATCTTCCGAGTTCTCCTGAGCGGACACGGCGAGGCAGAAGGCTGTGACGTCCAGGGCCTCTGCCCCGGCACCCGAACGCCTTCCTTGGCCTCCCCGAGAGCCCTGCTCTGAGCACCCCCACCTGCCCCACCTCTCCCACAGACCCCCAGCAGCAGGCAGGCCCCTCAGCCAGCCGAGCCCAGGCCCTCGGGGGCCTCACCGTGGTGCAGTTGGCCGGGCTGGGGGGAATGGGGGAGCTGGAGGTGGTGGAGGTGGGTGTGCTGCTGGACTGGTTGAAGATCTCGTCCTCCATGTGGCTGTGGCTCGGGGGGGAGGTGGCGACCAGCGCCTGTGCTGTGGGGGCAGGGCAGGGTGCTTAGCTGGCCGCGTCGCCCCCCGGCCCCCGCTGCCGTCCACGGGCCCACCCCGGGGCCTCACGAATGTCCTCGAGGTCCAGGTCGTCGTAGAGGAACTCGTTCTCCTCGAAGTCGGGGTCCTGGGAGGAGTCGACGTAGTACTCCACGTCGTCCTTGATCTTGCGGATGGCGTCCACGAGGATGGAATCGTTGTCCAGCATGCGCAGGATGGTCTCGAGCATGCGCACGTGGTAGCGGTGCTTCTCGATGTGCCGCTTCAGGCCCTCGATGCGGTCCTGCTTCTGCTGGCGAGCCCAGGGCCAGGCTCAGGGGCGCAGGCGCCACCCCGGGGCTCCTCTCAGCCTGCCCAGCAGCCCTGGCCCCTGGTGGGGTGCAGACACACCCCACTCCCCCATCTTTGTCTCTGTGGGCGCCTGCCTCCTTCGCCTGCCCCAACTCCCCTCTTCACGGATCCCTGACCTGCCCCTCCCCGCCCGCGGCCCCCGCAGCTCCTGCGCCATCAGGAGCACACCGAGTCCCTTTCTGGAATCTTCTCTGGGCCTCAGCCTTGCTCCCACACCCAGTCGCCAGCCTGTGGGCCACAGGGCTCCCCACTCACATCCTTGTCGCCTTTCTTCTTGCGCGTCTGCACTGACAGTGACTCCACTTCGCTCTCAAACTGGTCCACCTGCATGTTTAGGGTGTCAATGGTATTCTGGGGAGAGAGGAAGGCCGTGAGGCAGCGCTCGTGCGGGGGAGAGCCGGGCCCCGCGCTCACCTCCTCTCCTCCACCCCGCTCACCGTGAGCCACTGGCCGACCTCCTCCTTCTCCTTCTGGGCAGGGTCCACCTTCTGGGCCAGGCCCAGGCCCTCCTTGCTGTAAGCTTTGGTTTTGGTCTCTCGCTCCACAACTTTGAACCGTTCCATTTGCTGTGGAGAGCGCAGCTGGTGGAGAGCGGCCGCCGAGGGTCAGCCGTGGCCCGTGCCCCCTGCCCGCCCCGGGCACCTACCGTCTCGATGAGCTTGCGGTTGTCGATGAGCTGCCTCTTGTCCTTGATCTCGTTGGACGCGACCCATGTCTTGATCTGGTCCCTCAGCCGCTGCGCGGGGAGCAGCACGCGTTGGCCCCAGGGCCGGCAGGAGGCCCCGGCTCCCTCTGCTCCCTGGGACCCAGCAGTCCGCTCTCCCGGTCCCCCCACCCGCAGGACACGAGAGTCCGGCCCCCGGCCCCCTCACTTGCAGCTTC